GAAGCCGGCGGCGCCGGTGAGCCGTCCACGCACGCCCGGTGGCCCGGCCCTGACAGGCCCCTCGGCCCCCCTGGGGGGGGGGCACGGCCGTGGCCCAGTCAGGCGGCGTCTTGCCTTCTCAGCACCACCCAGGGCGGCCTGTGGATGCCTCCCACGGGGCTGTGCCGAGGAAGCCCAGCCGTGGGGCTCCTGGACCCCTTCCCAAGGTTGGGCAGGGCCTGTCCACTCACAGGCAGGGAAGAGGCATTTTCTAAGCTTGGGACGCCTTTAGACCAGGGGCTTTGGTACATTCAAGAGGGAACAAGAGAGGAAAACTAAGTGCCCGGGAGGGAACCGGCTCCGCTGCCCCTCCTCTGGGGAGCTCCCAGGTGGAGCGGGGTGCCCGCCGCCCCTGCCCAGCAGCCGCACCCCAGCTGCATGGACTCAGCGGCCCAGGGCCCGGCCCGGCCAAGGGGAAAGCTGTCCTTTCAGATACTGTCCTGTTGTCATTTGGCTGCTCATCTTTCGATGCCGTAGAATCAGATTTTCTCAGCTGTTCCATTACTTCAAATGACTTGTTAAACAATGTCTTCAGACAAAAAAGCCTGCGAGCAGATTAATAAAGCGCCCCTGAAACGGCTGAGACGAGGAAGCTGTCAGACAGGCACACAGAGAAGGCTGAAATGCAGGCTCGCCTGACCTCAGGGACCTGCCTGACACCAGGGTGACCGTCGCCTGACTTCTCCTCTGTCTCCACAGAGTCAAGAGCTGCTTAGTGCCAAGTGTGATGTGGACACTTGCCTGCTGGATGGAGACAGAAACTCATTTTCCATCTGTCAAGCAACCCGACACAGAGCCGGTAATGATTTTCTGTCAGCTGAGGCCTGCCTGGATTTGAACCAGTGACCCAGAGGTAAAAGGCCCTGATGTAGGGCTCCCTTTACAATAACTGGCCTGCCTGGCCTTGTTACGCCTGGCCCAGTGCTCCCTCTTGCACCTGCCCACGCATTCTCCTCGGCTAGTTGAGTTTCAGCCGGATCCTGACTTAGCATTGGGGGCTGAATTGTTACTGTCCCTGGAGGGCCAGCATATGTCCCCTGTGTGTCCTGGGGCAGTGAGATGTGGAAGGCAGATGAAATGCAGAGAGCCAGAGTCTGCTTGATGGGCCTCCAGTTTCTAATCTGTAAAATGGGAGTAATTACACCAAAATCAAAATTATCACAAGGATTAAGTCTTAATTATCACAAGGATCACGTAAAGCATTTAGCAGAGCACTCGGCACGTGGTAGGTGACTGATAAATGTGTCCTAGATTGGAGAAAGGTATTAAATAACATTTAAAAAGGTATTTTAGGGGATCTCTGGATGGCTCAGCGGTTTGGTGCCTGCCTTCGGCCCAGGGCGTGGCCCTGGAGTCTCGGGATCGAGTCCCATGTCGGGCTCCCTACATGGAGCCTGCTTCTCCCTCTGCCTGTGTCTCTGCCTCTCTCTCTCTGAATGGATAAATAAAATCTTAAAAAAAAAATAAAAAGGTATTTTTAAGCCAGTGGCAGTGGGATGAAGAAGGCGGAGATTAAGAAGAGGATTTATAGTAGGATCAAGAGAATTTGGTGATTACTAAATATGAGAAGTAGGAAGTGAAGGTCTGAGGGGGGTCACCAAGCCTGGCTGCTGTGCCAACACAAGAGGCGGGCTTGGGGAGGACTGAGGGTAGGGAAAGAAGAGGTGGCTGGCTCTCCCTTCAGGGAGTGTGGGGTTTGAGGTGCCTTGAGGGTACCCACATGGGAATGTCCAGATGCAGTCAGACGTGCACTCCGGGCTACCCATCCAGGAGCTCTCGGTGGTTTACACAAGGTGGCTGAAGCTGTGACAGTGAGACAGGCACTGGGAAAGGCAGAGGGTGGGAGGCTGGGGAGAAAAGTTGGAGACTGGAATTCCTGAAAATGTTCACCTTAAAGGAGTGAGTGGGAATCGGGCCTGGGGGATGGACAGCCAGCCGTCCCAGGGTCGTGGCGGCACTCCACCCAGTGGAAAGGGAACATTTACCTGGATGCAGTGAGCTCAAGGAGCGTCCCTCTGAGAGGCTGTGACCACAGTGCCAGCTCTGGGAGCAGCCCCTGAACCGGAACTCATCCCAGGCAGGCATGGGTCCATCGGAAACTATGTGGGCAGCTCTGTCAACTGCTTTATTTGATGGTTCTAGCCAGACTCAGGGCTTTTGAGGAAATTGGGCAAAACGTCTGCTTGGAGTTCTTTGGAGTAGGCAGAAAAGGCAAGGCCCGTGTGGCAATGGGGGCTGGGAGGCCTTCCTACGCCTGCTGGAAGACAGGGATTGCTGCAACCATCCTGAACTTCAGAATCTGGTATCTTCATTAACTGAGGAAGTACGACTCATGCCCTGGTCACTTCCTGACTTGATTAGTGACATTTAATGGACTTTGTAATTGGCTTTTACATAATTAGAAGTCATGCAGGACCGAGCCTGATGCTACATGTGCAGCGTAGTTTACCCAGGTCCCATGGTGGTTGGGCGATGATAGTGGCTGCCACTTGTTGAGTTCTTGCCAAGTGGCAGACGCTGTGACAAGCTGTTTGTGGGGATTTTCTCATTCGATCCTAGTTACAAACCTAGGATGTCACACAATTCCCTTTGGCTTCTTGAGCAGAGAGGTGAACTGGAAAATGGTATTTTGCTCCATCTTCAACAGGCATGGGACTTCTCAGGTACGGCTGCGGGGCAACAACCAAGGGGGTGGGGCACTGTCAGGATGCATCACACGTGAGATGCTAATAGCTGCGGGGCCCAGGGTAGGAAGTCGTATTGGTGGAAAGGATACTGGATGAGTTCTGAGCACGTGGGCAAAACCAGCCCAGGACCCCCCATCGATAACACTGCTCTCTTTGAACACCCAGAGTCAGAGTCTAGAACTTCCGGCAGTGAGCACAAATCAACAAGGTTGCAAGGATTTCACATCTGTAATAGCTGGTAATGAGGGAATGATCAATGTCTATGGTTGGGGCCAGGATCGATCGTTTGTGTGTTGTCTTTTCGTATCAGCAGACTCTGAGGCCTGGTGTCACAGAAACCCTAGGCCCCTTTCTTCTGATTGCTTGGAATTTCTGAGTTGTTGAAATCATCCAGAGGACCATCTATGACTCAGCATGGTGCTGTGATTTCATGGGTCGCGTCCTGGCCCATGTTCACAAGCACATGGGCCCGATGGATTGTTAGTGATGGTCATTTACTGTTTAATGCGGTTTCTCAGAATTGGCTCTGGAGATGTTTCCCAGCGTCTATGAGAAATGTTTTCCCCTTTAAATGAGGTTATATATTACTCACATTTGAAAAATTGTCCTAAGGTGTAAATAAGATTAGTTGGCTTGCTAGGGGAGAATAAACTCTTATAAGACCTTTCAACTATGTCTATATACAAACCAGTGATAGGATGATCACCATAATAATCTGTATCTGCTCTTTATAGTATGTTAACACTTCCATAAGGGCCACTCTTTATTTTTTATGCATATAAAGTATTCACTAATTCAGATCGACCCAACCTGATTTAGCCTGAATTATTGAGGGTTTACTGTCCTGTCAAAGCATAGAAGATGAAAATTGTTCGCTTATCACACCTGCAATGTCACCTTGGAGAGTTAATATTTACACAGCTATGAAGTAATGCATCTCTCTGAGTAGCACAAGGCAGCTCCAGTTTTATTCAGCATAGGAACAGCAGTAAAAAAGTTTTCCTTGTATATTAGTAATGATCTGTATGTAGGGAAGAGCTCTCTCATAACTTTGAAAGTTCATGTCCTACCTATCAAGATCACAGTTGAGAAAATCAACATGCATTTTTTGGTTACTGCTCTGAGTCAGGCACTGTGCTAGGCACTGCAGAGACACAGAAACGAGGGAGGGCCACACTGTGGGAGACAAATGCAAAGTAATGATTATACAGTGCAAAGGTTTCAGAAGGCCTGAAGTGTATGTCATGGGAGCAGGTCTGGAATGGCTGGGGGGCTGGGTAGAAAAGCCTCATGAAGGGGGTGGCACGCCCAACTGCCTGCCAGGGAGAAGAGCACTGCTAAGCCAAGAAGACAGCTGAAGAAGAACATAGAATTCCTTGTGGAATTCTACACAAGGTAAGGCACTCATACAGAAACACTGTGTTTGGAAAGGATGTTTTAAGGCTTCATCATTATAGCCCTAGAAAATATGACAAGGGTGCCTAACATTCAGATCACTTCAGTCTGGTGCCTACTATTGGGTACAGTTTCTCTTTTGGTTCTCAACAACTCTAACGAAAAAGCAAGGGCTAATTTTGGATTTTAACGTGATGCCACAGTGGGGGTACTGATGATATGGACACCTATAAGATTATGAAGCTTATGTGTATTTAACCACAGATGATATCAAAAGAGACCAGACCATCCACCTATCTCCCACTAGAGCGCCTAATCAGGCATTCATCATCCACAATAGCCCACATTAACCCCGCACCTCCACCTTAACTCAATAGTCAAACATCCTCCCACAAAAATAATAAAAAACCACCTCGCCTACAAACCCACAACCCAACATCCACCCACCCACCCCAAAAATACAACCCCCCACCAAATGACCCACAAAATGGTCAAACTCCACCACACCCCACAGACCAATCTCCAGCTTATAGAAACTAAAAACCCCCCTCCACTTAACGCCAAAAACCCCAACCCCCAGAAATACCCCCCTTCGCCCCTCCCCCCATTTACCCTCAACGCCCAACACCAACCCAAACCCACACCCCAAACCACCCCCCCCATACACTCCAACCACCAAGTATTCCCCCAGCGACCCCCACCAACACCCTCCCACACCAGTGACAAACCAAACCACCATACCAAACTCCCCCCCCCCCCATCCAACAATGTAAAGCCTGACCGTAGTCAGAACCACCTACTCAACAAAAATGATTAGTCAAAATAAAACCCAAAATCATCTGCCATACAACTAAATTTTGATTTAAAAATTTTTATTCTTTATGGAAAAATATGCCATAGTATTTGTGTAAAAAAAGAAATAGGCATAAGCGTATCACTAAAGCCACCAAAATGACTATGTAGAGATATTTGAAACAAAACACATCTTTTAAAGCAAAAAATAAAATGTTATAGCATTTTCAGTTGAACCTTATCCCATAATCACACCTATTGTAGGTGTTAGACAATAGAGGTAGATAAGTTGGGGAGAAAAAAATTCAGTATTCTAATGCTAGGGAGAAAGATTTTTATAGCTCAGACAGATGGACAAATAATCCCATTTCCTCTGAAATTCAAAGAAGCTTGTAGGAACAAAATGTGAAAAAAACCTTTCTGTGCTCCATTTGTGAGCATCAAAAGTACCAAGCAAAATTACTGGAATTTCAAACATAGGTGAAATTCTTGACAAACTGCCTGTTCATCACAGATTTTTGCAGAGTCTGGCACTAGCCCTAAAATTTACACTGAGGATAACTCTTGTGAAATTTATGAGGTTCATTGGGATCCCTGGGTGGCGCAGCGGTTTAGCGCCTGCCTTTGGCCCAGGGCGCGATCCTGGGGACCCGGGGTTCGAATCCCACGTCGGGCTCCCGGTGCATGGAGCCTGCTTCTCCCTCTGCCTGTGTCTCTGCCTTGCCTCTCTCTATCTCTGTGACTATCATAAATAAACAAAAAGTAAAAAAAATTTAAAAAAAAAGAAATTTATGAGGTTCAGTAATATTGAAATGGTCAGAAGTAACACGACATGAGACCTGGTAGTGACAATAATATAAATTCACATTACTGATAACCCTGGCAGGTTCCTAAGGAATGATTTTTTTTTGTCGCTGACCAAATAACAACAGAGCTGCTGAGGACAGAGTCAGCCTCAGTGTGACCCAGGATTCCAATACTGTCTGTCAAATCAAGAAAGGCCGTGCGGAATGCTGTGCAGGAAACGGGAAAATTGTCCTCTAATTCTACATATCGCTTTATTCTCTCTTTGGGTCCAGTGCAAGGTTGTCCAGCCACAGTAGAAGCACACGTTGAATATTCCTTTGAAAGCTGGTGCCCAACTGGGGACTCATTTTATTTGATATTTTGGTGAATGGATGGTTTTGCATTTTCTGTGCCCATTTTTCTTCCCATCTGGTTAGACAGAATGTGTATATGTAACATTTGTTTGTGTCCATGACCTTTTTATTTTTATTTATTCATAAGAACAATATGATTTAATTTTGAAAAATTGCTGCAAACATTTGTCAAATCTGCCAAGGAAATTTTCATTAATAACTTGTCTCAAGTGCCTTAAGTGTGTTTAATTCAAGGATGAAACAGGCTGCTTCTGGCTAAAAGGGGCAATTTGTGCTCAGACATCTGTGCAACAAGAAAAAATTTTGGTCTCCATTGTGGAATGTGAATATAATCCATCATTAATTGTTGCTGTTCTCAAACGAACTGTAACGTTTTTATGTCTCACATTTGGTGCTTACGAGTTTGCAAGTATGCTGGAAAACAGGTAAGAAAGAAATCATGGCAGATAAAGGGAAAATGCATGAACTATAATTTTAAAAATCCTGAATACTAAGTCCTGTAGTTTACCTCAAAACTTCACTTCCTTATAACTCAAACATCAGGCTCTTTCTTTGAAGCAGCTTATAATAAATTTAAGACATATAACACCACAATCTCTTATAATGGGACTGAGGAATTTCTGTGTGGAAACTATTTGAAGGAATGTCTAAAAAAAACGATGTCAAGAAATGCAGATAACTTATGCCTTTCAGCATCTATTCAATCTATGACCCCTGCTGAGTTGATAAGGAAGAGGCATGTCACAGATGTAGAAACAAAGAATCACACAGTAAATCAAAGTATTCATGAATAAGACTTTGGAAGTTTTCACTGTCATCAGAAGGGCATTTTTCCTGATGGTGTGACCTCATTTCAAACAGCACAGTAACTAGTATAGAGTTGTACTGCACCAAAGGTGGTACGAGGAAAGCATGTCTGCTTTTTGTCACGATCACGGTTTCCTGTGTCGGTAAAAAAAAAAAAAAAATTCAAACCACTCCAAAATACAGTACCACCCCTGGCAGTAACCCAACAAAGTAGGTTTTGGAAATAACGCTCCTGTCAAATACATTTTAAGGCACTTAAACTGTTATATCATATTTTTGTGTAAAAAAATAAAATATGCATCGAAGCAACATTCACAAGTACAAGTCTTCAGAACTGTTGGTATGTACAATCCTGTACATATATACATCGCTGCATAAAGGGTGCCTCCTTTGTTATACTGTTGGCCTCGTCAACTTTACTCCCTACAAGAAAGGACAACATGACGTTCAGAGTTGGACAGTATGAACAAAATGAAAGCAGCAATTAACACCAGAGAATTTATGCTATTAGAAGGAAGACGAAGCTCACCTGATAGCATTACATAACCAATGATCCAAACTCTGGATCCACACACAGATTCACCTGCTGGCAGATCTTCACTGGCTGGTGGACTTCCTCCAGCCTGACCTGGCTATTCATATCATCTCACTGTATACTGGATGGTGGCCATGGGTCTCAGTCAGTATTATTTGTAAAGCAGAAGAGATATTCATGGATACCCTCATGATTGACAGTTTGTATTTATTTTGTGGTCAAATGAGATGGGCAAAATTCTACGTCTGAATTATTTTCAGGTAGCCAACACCTCTCTGGTTTGGAGTGGTTTCTGTGCGAAAGGATAATGAACAGCATTGTCCAATTTAGCCTCCCTTTGGAAATGCTTCTGTTACTCTGCAGGATAAATCCCAGAGCACTGAAACATTTAGAGGAAAATTTCATCTGTTTAATTTGTTGTTCACTAAGACTGTGTATTTTTGACAGAATATTAGGATTTTCAGATAATTTTCTTCATTCTTTGTCACAATTTATGTGTATAAAATCTGACCAGCAGTGCACATATATACTGAGAAATATAAATGGAAGTTTTCAAAAGGGATAAATAGTAATAGAAATAAAAAGGCACTAAATGGCTCCTCTACCAACTCTTGAGTGGGTGGGCTGGAGCCCAGAGCCGTACCTGGTAGGGAATGGTGGTAACTGCTAGCATTCTGGTAAGTGACAAAATAAATGAAGGTGCTAGGAAATGTAACTTTTTCGGGTAGGATACTGGGGACTGACCTAGGGTACTCCTTTTCATTGTTTTAAAACAATGCTGTGTTTCTGTCTAGAATGTCCATGTGGTATCAGGGAAGGATTCTGGGGGTCAAATAGACCAGGGTCTATTATAGAGTCTATTATAGATTATATAGGGTCTATTATAGATTATAGAGTCCTCACTCTAGAACTGACTAACCCACCCATATAACCTTGGCCAAGTTGCTTGACTCCCTGAGCCTCCTTTGTAAGCTGCACAATGGCAAGAGCAGAGCTTGCTAGAAGCAGTGTTGTAGATAGTAATGAACAGCAATGACAATAATAATTATAGGAGCTAGCTTTTATCAAACACTTGCCATATAATCCTCTGTAACTCTAAAGAGCAGATATTATCATTAGTCTCAGAGTGGCAGAAGCTGAGGTACCTAGAAATGAAACAATGTGGCCAAGATCATCCAGAGAGGAGGTGGCCCAAGGTCACCTTGAGCCGCAGGTTGGCTCAAGGTCCACACTCTGAACCAAGTAGCAACTGGGATGTGCTTGGCACACACAGAGCTCAATAGGGGTAGTGTATCTATTCCATTTTTGGGAACCTAGGGCACTCCCCTGCCATTGGCTGTCTCTTTTTCCTACTCTTCTGATAGCAGCTGCCACCTTGTGTATAGGCTCCGAGAAGTCTTGGAAGGTCTGAGCTGATGGGAAGGAGCCAGCCCTACGGGTACCTAGATGGTATACGCAGCATCTAAGCTTTGTATGAATCATACTAATTTTGTTTTGGCTGATAGTTTAGGAAATCAAATCTATAGATATCAAATAAGTTACAAGACTCTGAGCTAAGTGTAGTGAAACTGACATCATGTGGGCTCCTTTGCTAATTAATTTTTTTAAATGTTCAAATACATAGTTTTGCTGTGGAAAGAAGTTATTAGGTGTCTGGGAAGTTAAAAATAAACTCGACATTTTAGATAAAGCCAGGTGCTATCATATTTACAGAGGCATGTGAAGTTAGGACACATGAAAGATGGGGTGGGGGAAAGAAAGTGTACATCTGAGAGGAGGGATACAGATATTTTAAGTATATTCACCCCTACCCCATTGCAATATGCCCTGCAATACAAGCAGATTTTTTAAAAAAAGCTTTTGAAAACTGCATTTTGAGTATAGTTGTACTTTTACAACAATACAAAACATGTAACCCTCCCTCAGTCCTCCTTCTCAAGAAATGGATCTATGCATCATTATTATTGTGATTAGTTAAGAAAATCAGAATATGCTAGCAAAAGTTAAAGTATATGAACAGCTAAGATGCAGAAATAGTATTTCAATTTGATTTGCATTCAACTGAGATCTTTCCAGAGTCTCACCTTTTGCCTCGACACCATCCAAGACTTTATCGTTGGCACCAACACACTTCCCAGAAGGATCTGAACTGGGTGGTATATGAGCAAGGGCACGGATATCAGGGAGAGGTGCTCATGGCCTGCAAACACAATCTTCAGCATTGGAATCCCTGATGAACAAAGAAGACAGAAAACCTGGAGGCAAATTCCGTTTGTCATCAAACTACAGACACTCTCCATTAAACCTGGAACTCTGCACTATCTTTCCTTCTGAATGTATTCACAGGGAACGTCTCAACAGAGTCATCACATCTTCGCATCTTCCTTTCACTACATAAAACTCCAAGTTCTACCTAGAACCAGTTAAAGCTGAAAAGGTGGTCAGTGTTGAAAGGCACCAATAATTCTCCCTGAAAATTAGCAGCCTATCTACCAAGGAGGAGAGAGAAGAGCTGCTTCTCAGAAAGATGAAAAATAGGAGAAACGAGGAGATTCAAAATGGATCTTTTCTTGCTTAGCAGGGAAACAGTCTGCCGGTCTTTAGGGAGGCCTGCCTGGCACCACTTCAAAGTCCCAAAGTTCACTTTTGACAGTCAAAAGGACACGGTAAGATAATATATGATATGCACCATTATAAGTGGGAGGGTACTTTCACTAAATGAACATTAATAAAGGCTTCGTACCTTCTCTTTCGGCCAACGATCTCAAAGCGGTATATACTGTATACGGCAGGTGAATTCTAAGATTGGTGCTGAATGTTTAAACCCTCCAGTGAGGGTCTTAGTGGAACTCAGGTAAATGGATACTACTTCCTGAGTCCATTATACCGAGGGCAAGGTCTGCAGATTTTATAAACAGCTGCCTATAGTGTATACCTATTAAGCTTTTATAACAGAAATCAGACACTGGCAATTTGACTCTTACTACCAATTGTTTTAATACGGCCCAGTTGTCAGAATTACTGAGTCTGTTTGTCAGCTTTTCCAGTGGATAAGCTTTGATAGCTTAGCTCCCTTCCTGTTTCTTTGAGAACAGCCTCTGAAAAGGACCCAAGCTCCTAAACATGCACCATGATGGCACATAAATAACTTTTTTATTATAACCCACCGAGGAAAGCTCTGCTTTTTCAATTATTTTTACCTTCTAATAAATTTCAAACCTTTATGCAGAAATGTATTTCATAGCCGCTTTCTTTTTCATAGCCTCACAAATCACTGCCGTAAACTGAAAACACTTAACTCGTCCCCAATCTCCCTCTCAAAGCTTCGAAAGTACGCGTTTAGATTTTTGCACTGTCTTCTAATATAACAAACAAAAGAGCTTTCTTTTAAAAAGTAATACACTTAATCAGTTGACAGGCGAAAAGCAGCATCTGGTACTATGATCCGGGCAAGTTATTGTGATGAGAAAAGAAGACCTGATCGTTCTCCTCCTGTTTGCAGGAAAGGCGATTTGGCCCAAAGGGACGATGCTCAGGAGCGGGAGGATGAGGGCGGATTCAAAGTGGGGCTGGAGGGAACAAATGATGGAAATACAGAGGTATCTGTCCCTGTAAATGACGAGAACGAGAGTTTCCGACGCAAAGTTTGGGGACCGTGGCTGCTGGGCTGCATCACTCGAGCCTTTCCTGGCAAAACCTTGGGCTCTGCGTCATTCTTCAGCGAGCTGACCCGGCCCCGAAGTTTTTTTGAGCAAAAAACTGGCTGCAAGACAGTGAATTTGGCAAAATGTGATCTTCAAGTCCAGTCAGAAAACCAGCGGTAGCTCTTCTTCCAGAAGCTTATGTCACGCGCCACTTCTCATTCCCCTCACTCACTTGATCAACAGCTGGATTATTCATTCCTTTAGGCGCCACTCCCGGACCTGATGAACTGCTCTGTAAAAGGCGAGGCGTGCCAGGAGCAGAATGTGACCCGACCCTGCATGAAGTGGCTTCTTGGGCACCCCTGTGACCCTCATACCTCCCCCCCATAAGCTTCCTTCGGGGCGGTCGGCTCTCAACTGCTTTCCCACACAGTCTCCACACCAGTCTCTCTGACTTTGGGTTGGTCCTGTCGCAGAGTGCGTGTGAAATCAGGTTAAAAATAAGCCACAGGTTCTCTTGTGATTTCTGAAACATCTTTTTTTTTTTTTAATCAGAGAAGTATTACCATCTTCCATTCATCATAAATAATCCATTTTATTATGTCACCAATCCTTTTGTAAAAATTTGGTATTTCACTCTGTGGCCAGAGTGAGCACAAAATCGGATTATGTCAAACCCTCAGGAGCCTATGGCCCAGGGGTGACTTCTAAGTGTGGTGCATGAGGACCCTCCTGTCTGGCCTCCCTCCCCCATGTCTCCTGCTTCTTCCCTCTCCTCCTGCAGTGCTTCCTCCCCAGCCCTCCCTCTGTAGTGCTGTGTGGCTACTAGGCCTTTGCACATGAGCTCCTCTGGCCTAGAATGCCTACCACCTGCGTCTTGCTTCACCCACTCCTCTGGCCCTCAGCTCTTAGGTCGCCTCCTCTGGGATGCCATCCTCAAGGTCCCATGCTGGCCATCAGGCCCTTTCTATTCTATGCTTCCCAACCTGTGACACGTTCCAGCCCAGTGCTCACTGCACTTACTAACACTAGCTACTTCTTCTTCATCTTGAGCAGACAGGAGGTGCTCAAAAGGAGGGTGTCAAATGAAGGGATCTGTATTTTTCCAGACCCCGTCCTAAATTTACTGTGCAGACTATCACTCCGTTTTTACTACATTCTTTAAGTAGGAGAAAAAATGGCAATAATTTAAAAAAGCAAACAAACTTACTAGAAAGAGTTTTCTTTTTAAAGTAAAATTTAAATATAGGACTCTTTTCATCTTGCTATCACTGCAGTAATATAAATGAAGCAAATTAATTTTAATGCTCCCAGGTACTGATTCTGTGTCACCATGGTTGACAGGATCCAACTAGACTTTATGAGATGGCATTTGACTTTATGGAAGTGAACACTATGCACGCATTTACAATTTTACAGGGGCTTTAAGCTGTCATGCTGAAAAATGTTTATAAAACATTAATCAAAAAATGCCTCTTTAATACAATGCATTGTCTGAAAGATGTTAGAAGGCGCATATTGTAAATGGATTCTTTTTCTGACTAAAGTAATTTCCACCAAAAGCATTTCCCCATTGCTCCACAAGTACACTGTGCGGATAGATAAAGAGCACTTTCCCAGCACATTACTACCTGCTCCAAACACTTGGGAAATCAGTAATGTACAGCATGCCATATTTCCATGTCACACATGACACATTCGTCAAAAATTATCCAACAGAGTTTGACACTGCAGCATATTCCATAAGCAGAGCTTTCAACTGACATCTGCCAACTAGGAACTTCAAGTGAGAGCTTTCTTCTTCTAACAAGCAAGTAAGGAGTTTCTTTTATCCTATACCCAGGACGGAAAGGATAAAACAATACGTACAAGAACAAGTTTTTTTTTCTCCCTATTTTAAATATGTTTATTTTATGTTCTCTGAATTAGAAAATTCCCTTTGTATCAACGTTCAAGTTGTAAGAGTTTGTACTTTCTATTGGATGGACAGTTTTTGATTTTTCCTTGAGAAACATTTTTCTTACTAGATTAAATATGGACTTTTATTTATTTATTTTTTAAAATATGGACTTTTATTTAACCCACACCAAAGGCTGAAGGCTGGTTTATTGTTCGTAATATAAAAACTATCTACTTCACATCACTGTTTAGTTCACTTGTGGGTACGCCATGTTTTCACCATCCATCCATCCATCCATCCATCCATCCAACTATCCATCCATCCGTTTTATTAAAAATCACCTTTTGAGGGATGCCTGAGTGGCTCAGCAGTTGAACCCCTGCCTTTGGCTCAGGGTGTGATCCCAGATTCCCAGGTTCGAGTCCCACATCGGGCTCCTTGCATGGAGCCTGCTTCTCCCTCTGCTTGTGTCCCTGCCTCTCTCTGTGTTTCTCATGAACAAATAAATAACAATAAAAAAAAAATCACCTTTTGGGCCTCTGCCGTAGGGGAGGCACTGTTCTCTTTGCTAGGAATATAAGGTCAGTAGCACTGCCAAGGTCCCTGCCCTCCTGCTGCTCACCTGCTGGTAGCTCTTGCCCTGATACTTCAGCTTTCCGCCATCAGAGGGATGAGTGATAACATAGCGGGTGTAACCCCTTCTGTCACTGGCTCACCCAGTTTCTAGGACTCAGAGTTTCGGGATTATCTTTGATGAATTCCATCTGTCTCCTTACTCCTTGATCAAGTCACTGAGTTCTGTAGGTTCTTTCCTCCATCTGCCACTTCCTGTCCCCCTTAGCTTTCACTTCCACCTGCCTAATTCAGTGCCTCATAAAATTGAGCCAAGATGACTCTTACGGCCTCCTGACACAACCCCGTCTTCGGACTCTTCCTTCATCAATCCTCCAAACCACGGGGAGACTAATCTTCCCCAAACCCACATTAATTAAAACCAGTACCCTGCTCAAGAATTACAATGACTTTCCAGTGCCCATTCATCACATTCTCTACCTATTCAACTTCAGTAAAGAACAGTGCCTACTGCCACCATTTTGTAAGTGCTTACTGCATGCTAAGTGCTTTGCCTGCATTATCTCATTTAATCCTCACATCAGCCCTGTGAAGTAGGGGCGATTTTCCCATTAAAGCCCAAGGAGACCGGGGTTTAGGGCAGTGAAGTGACTGCCTGACACCATGCATCATGCGTTTCAGTAGAGGCGGAATTGGATCTCAGCGTATTTACTTTTAATCACTGAGCTGTGCCAACTCCATTAAACCAAACTTTCCACTGCCAACTGCTGTCACTGGCTCAGGTCTAGCACTTTCCTGTCTTTGTAAAAGCTGAGCCTGATTTTGCCCTTTCTCCCTGTGTGCCTAAATCCTGTGGGTTCATTCAGGCTCAGCTTTCTATCTCTACCCTGAAGGTGGCCTCTCTACTGATTTCCTCCTCTTTTGAGGAAAGAAGTCGCTCTTCCTCCTGGCATCAGGAACTGTAGCATTTGCTCATGCTGCCATTATTTTCTTTGGCATTATTTTCTTTGGTAGGTTTTCTTTTCCCCTGAACATAGGCAAAATTATTACATTTTTTCTTTAATCTCCTGCAGTATTTAAGCACAGGACTGCTACCTAAGAAATGACTGATTA